GATTACTCTCTCTCTGTCTGCCCTTACTCACCTATCAGTTGATCTTAAGAAGCAGCCAGGATGATTATTTTAAGATGTGAATCAGATCATGTATTTTCTCTGTTTAAAAACTTGGTAGTTTTCACCCTTAGTAATACTTGACATATCTTGACTTGCATCTGTTTGAATGTGTTTGTGTACATGAATGGAAGAAGGGGTGACAGAGGTCAGTGTGGCTGGAATATGCGAAGAAAAAAAGGATTGTGTGAAATAATGTCAGGGAAGTCCTGAAGAGTCAGATTATGTGGGGTGTATAGGACACTGACAGGGCTCTGGCCTTTCCTCTGAGTGAGGAGGGGGCAGTAGGAGGGTTCTGGGTAGGGGAAGGGCACGCCTGACTTAATTTGTAGCAGGATCACTCTGCTACTATGTTAATATTAGATGAAGAGAAGCATGGAGACCAGTTAGGGGTCTGTGTGTAGTTGTCATACAGTTTTGAGGTATGATGATGGGTTGGCCCAGAGTAGAGCCTGTGAGAAGTGTCAGATTAACATATTTTAAAGTTAGAGTTAACAGGATTTCTTCATAGACTGGGTATGGAAGGTGAAAGAAATAGAAGAGTCAAGTTTATCATCAGAAACTTTTGGTCTTAGCAATTGGAGGCGCATTAACTGAGACAGGGAAGGCTGTGGGGAGAGCATGTTCTGATGAGAATATTTGGAGCTTAGTTTTGGACAGATGAATTTGAGGGGGCATGTAGCGTGCCTTTAAAATATATTTGCTGAGCTGATGAATAGCATCTTGGCTTTACTTTGCACTGTGCTGGTTATTTCTGTATCGAGAGCCCTTTTTGTCTCACCTTTGCTTATCTTTGGGTTTGTGGAGCAGTAGTCGCCTGGCTTGTGCTTGAAATGACGTGAATCTGGGGGTCCAGTTATTCCATCTACAGACATGCATATGATGAGCCCAAACCCAGCCTCTTTCTTTGATCTCTGAGACCTAAGATTTCTCATTGTTGTGAGGAAAGGATGGGCTTGCTTCTTGAGGTGATACCCCTTTTAAAGGTAGACTAGTTAAGTGGGGAAATGAAGGGACAGGAAAATGTTTCTGTTGATCCATGTTGGTTTAGGTGAATTATTAGGGTGGAGCAAGGAGAGACAGAATATAAAGCTGGAAAGAATATGGAAGAATAGGGAATAAAGTTTGTGGGTGTTTTTCTGTGGGGGGAACACAAAACCTTAACCAATATGAGGTTGCTGTGATCAGACTCTTTCATTGGTAAGATTATTTGAAAGGACTTGAAAATTGATTGAATATTGGCAGAAAGGGAAATACCTGATATTACTCTGAGATTTGAGCCTCTGTTCTGATAAGGATTTATACGTCCCATGTCTAGACATAGGAGAACAAGAAGAACATAATTTGGGAAGTAAGATAACAGCAATTTTAGATATATTGCATTTAGAGTGAATTTCTGGCAGAAATATCTAACAAAAATAGTAAATGTGAAACTAGGTCTTTGAAAGAAAGAACTAATAATAAGTTCCTGACAATAATGATTAAAGAACATTATGTTCTGTGATCATTTTCTCTGGTTTAATAAATTTAAAAAGAAACACATTGTGGTTTTTAAATTTCTTTTCCATGTTGAGTAAATCCTTGTGCAATGACATCATTTGTACATTTAGTTCACAAATGTAAGATAATTACATAATATCTGTTTATATTTTTGTGGGACTATTATAAAATCATTAGTATTTTGAGCACATTAAAATCCCAAATACCATACTGAACAAATAATTTGAAGGAAATGTTTTTTTTTTTTTTTTTTTCTCCAGGTGAGCAAAGTAACATTTTCTAAGCTCTGTTGTAAAAAAAATGTGTCACTTTATTTTTTCTTTCCTTAAACTAGGTGTTGTGTATTCTGGTACTTACAATAGGGTTTACATGAGCCAAACTCCATTCTCTTCCTCTAGGTAACTTAAGTGAGACTAACGAAAGACTCAACAATATTTTAATGTTCACTTTTAAATTTAACATTTAAAATTATACTCATTTAAAAAGCTAATAATAAGTTTTTAAAAATAGAAATGTATGAAATGAGTTCTCATTTTCTGTCTTTAACTTAATTTTCTAGAAGTTATTATTGAGTAATAGAGTATTACATATTCTTTTCAACATATTTCTATGTAAAGAGAAAAAACACTAATATCTGTTTTTATTTTAATAATGTGAACTTAACGGCACATATTATCTTGCAACTTTTTAAACTGAAAAATTGGCATAAGCATATTTTTTTTATCAATGTAATAGGAGAAGTTTTCAAAACACTCTTAAAAAGATAGTAAGAAGACATTAAAGAATCACTACATTGTGCTTGAGACAACACTAGTGACTATGAACATTATTTAGGAAAAGTTTCTGAAATGTGATTCTAAGATCTTCAGTCATTGTTTCAAAGCACGCAGGCAGAAGCCATTCTGTGAGTTACTCTGTGCAGGCCCCCTTCAAATTTGAGACTATATGATTGGCCAAAGACTATCATAAAATCTGTCTTCTTAATTTTTAACTAATTTAAGAAAGTATCAGTAATTTCTAAAGGCATTAATTCAAAAGGTTTGAGAGAAACAATATTGTGTTTTATCTTTTCAAAAGCAGATCAGTCTTAAAAGCTATACTAATGCATTTAGCCAGCTCTTAGAAGAGGAAGCTTTATGGGCTTCTACAAGACCTGAGGAGATGTTAACTATTATATGTAATTATATTTTACAACGTCTATGCTGAAAGAAGAGAACAGGGATATAAATAATTGGCAAACATATATATTTTTCTTTAGAATATGGGATTTAGTCAAGCTCAATGCACACTCAGTCACAGAAAGAGAGCCTTTTTGTTCCCTATTCTATCTTGGCTCAGATCTATTCATAACCTAAGACACTGAGTGAAACATCATGCAACACAGGACAATCAGATTGGTAGCTTGGAACTCTGTTGGGATTCTTGCTTTCTGCAAACTACAACTTTTACTGCATAGAGACTCTGGCCAGCCTTAAGTAGTGTGAAGTAATAATGGTGGGTGGTTTTTACAGATCCCATCACTTTATTTGGAGATTTACTAATGACAAAACTGATTGATCTCAGAGTCAATAAAAATCAAAATGTAAATGAAATAATTAAATATTAGAATAATAATTATAAAGTAAATATTTTAATAGTATATATAATATTTAAATATTATTTTGTGCTATTTTGATTTATTTTAATTTGTATTACTGCAAGCAGTAATACTTCTATTAGAAACACTAATTGCAGAGTAGTAGTTTGGAAATCTATGTTGCATTAATTCTGAACTCTGAATATTTAGTAGACCATGTGCTTTTTAGTTTGTTTGTGATTTATCATGAACAGATGATTAATACCTAGTTTTTAATTTAGTGTTTTCACTGATTTCCAAGCTCCCTTTCTTCTTCATTGATGAGTCATTTACATGTCTCCATGGTATCTTCATCTTTTTTTATTTCCTCTCCTCATAACAGCCTATGCGATCTGTATTCATTGGTCACCACATTGAGCTCAAGGACCTTAGACTTGTTCTATAAAGGCCATTCTCTTTTATGGGGTCCCTCAGAATCACAGCCATTTTTTTGCATCTGTGCTTTAACTTCAGCCCATATTTGTCCTAATTCATATTGTTGTACACTGATTCTACTCATCTTCAACCAATATAGCCTTTTCTCCCACTACATTTGATTTCTCATGCAACCCTTACCTGTTTGCAGTATTTTTACTTTAGTGGGGAAGCGACCTTCATAGTTAAGAACTATGTCGTCAGACAGGCATGGATTCAAACTATGATCTTGGACAAGTTAATAGTTTAATTCTCAATTATTCAAGTGCCTTAACTATAAAAAACAACTCTCCAGGGTTATTGTGAGAATTTGGAAATGAAGCACTTAGAACTATCCTTGGCACATGGTACTCAGAGAACACTGGCAGATTACCCCTTATCTATAACCCTTAGGTTAGATGTGTTTTTAGAATTCAGAATTTTGTGAATTTTAAAAAGTATGCATATTCCTTATATTGTATAAGATCTCTAGCAAGGTGTGAGGTTAGGGAAATACTTCTGTGTGAATTTTTATACAGAAGTATTATTCTCCTGTCATTGCCCACCCATCAATTCTACTCAGATATTGCCTCCCCGAGTTATAAAAATACTATTTTTTCAGAACTTTTAAATTTTGGAATTGTGGATAAGGGATTAGAATTCTAGAAAATAAAAGGTGATTCTATATTTTCTTATTTTGAACTATAATATTCTCTCATTTTGACAATGTGGGAGTTTTCTAGATTTTCTAAACATGGGCCACTGATACTTTTTTATTTCTTCAGTGCCACAACTCACTCCCCTCCCAAGGTACCCCTGCCATCTCGCTCCAGATGTCTTCTGAGAATTAAAGGAAGGAAAGAAATAGAATACTTTCAGTATTACTTTTCTTATTGGATATGGAATATTGGATATGGAAATAGAATACTTTCAGTATTACTTTCCTTATTGGATATGGAATATTCAAGTCACATTGAACATTATATTTTTCTTTTTCCTGGAATTTATAGAATGTGAAGTATATAATACTATCTGGAGAGAAAAAGCCACTGAAATTATTAGTCTACATATCTGCCTTTATAGTTAAAAGCTGTGGCCTCTTAAATATCTTAACTCAAAAGATGTTTAAGCAGAATTTGTAGTTGCATATAATATACTAACAGTTTTAGACTGTATAATGTTGTTTTATATAAATACTTATGTGTTTTTAGAAAAAATTATATTGTCATAATGAATAGTTGACATTGCTTTTCTTCTTCCACTAATGAGGATCTACATAAATTTTTAGTCCATTGCTTTCTATCTTTCATTGATTTGGGGGATTTGCTATGAGAATAAAAGTTGTAATTCAGTCATACCTGGTAATACAAAATTATTATTCAGAATTGATTCTAGTATTTATTTTATTTTTTAGTGTCCTACTGAAACCAAAGCAACATTTGGGGTCCACCTTAAAATAGTCGGAGACTGGACAGGTATGTAGAACATAGAATTTTAAGATATGCACTTTGAAAATAATGGGTCATACTATAATTTGTGTTTAAATAGTGTAATTACCAGCATGTATAGAAATGTGTATATGTTCTCAAGCTGTTGTTTGTTTTCTTTCCTTGCTTGTACAGTTTGAATGTTTGTTTTCTTCTTATAAGATGCATTTTACAATTGCAATAGCTTGGATATTAGTAATTTTTTTTTTTCAAATCTTCACAGCAGCTTTACTTGTAATATCCAAAAATAGGAAACAGCCCAAATATCCACTAACAGCTCAATGGAATATGGTATATTCATACAATGGAATAATACCCAAAAATACAAATGAACAAACTACTGATATATGTAACAAGATACATTAATCTCAAAATAGTCATGATTAATGCAAAAAGCCAGGGTCTCCAATTTTCAGAAAGTATATTACATAAAATTCTGGAAAATGGGGTGATTTTTAATAATGTAGTATTCACTGTGTTTGCAAATCATAGGTCTTTGCCTACTTGGCAGATGTACTGGCAACGGTGGAAACACTGAACTATCTTTTTTTAAACAACGTGATTTTAAAATTACTGATTGGTTTTATTCTCAAAAGAGTTGGTTTGTTAAAACTACAGGGAATCAGAAAATGTAGTCTAGGGCTGTAAGAGAAGCTTCACAGAGAAGATAGAATTTGAGGCGAACCTTGAAAACCGAGGAAGTGGGGGAAGAATTAAATCATTTAAGTAAAATTCACAACATTGTTAAAAATTAGGGAAGATAATGATTAAACCATATTTAAGAAGGGTAAGTCAATCAGCCTAGCAGAAGCAAAGATTTTGTTCTAGGGAGTAGTATAGAAAAGCCATTTAAGTTTAGCTTGGTGAAGATCATGAATGCAGCTTTATTTGCAATAGCCAAAAACAGGAAACAGCCCAAATATCCACTAACATCTCAATGGATAAAAAACAATTGTGGCCCTGGCCAGTTTGGCTCAGCGGTTGGAGCATTGGCTTGCGGACTGGAGGGTCCTGGGTTTGGTTCCCGCTGGGGGCACATGCCTCGGTTGCAGTTTGTCCCCGGCCCTGGTTGGGGTCCTGTGGGTGGCACCACTCTATGTGTCTCTCTCATATCGATGATGTTTCTCTCTCTTTCTCTCTCACTTCCTCCCACTCTTCCTCAAGATAAATGTGAAAAAAGAAAATGTCCTCGGGTGAGGATTAAAAAACAAAAAAACAAAAACAATTGTGACCTAGACAAGATATTAGAATAAATTAGAAATGTAGTGAACCTTTAAAGAATTTGAAGCATTATATCAAAAATAGTATTACTAACTTGCTAGTTAGATCAGTTAGAATCAAGGGACAACATGGTACTGGAAGGCAGAGGAGAGTCAGTGGAGGAGGGGATGGAAACTGGGGAGTAGAACTGGATTTGTAAATAGGTTGAGAAGTTAACATTGAAAAGGAGGAACTAATTTTTGTAAAAATAGGAAATGACAAGATATTGTATAATAAGAAAAATTTCAGGAACAACAGTTGAAAGAGCTCATATTATACAGTCAAAAATGATAATATAAAATTATTTGTCTATAGAAAGGGCAGCCAGTTTAGAATTGGAGACTTGAAGAAAATGGAGAAATATACAACATAGGATATCATGGGAAAACAATGAAATTAATCAAAAGATCTTTGAGCAGTATTGACTTATTTGGAATAATGAAAAACCAGGCTTAGGGGGGAATCAGTGGGGGAAAAAGGAGAAACAGCTGTAACAAAAATTAATAAATAAAATAAATTTTAAAAAAAAGAAAAGAAAAACCAGGCTTAAATAGATATTTATACATGTGATAGCATTCAAAAGAGCTCATGGTGGTACAGTGTTAGAAAAACCTGGTATACTATGGAAGTAGTAGTTCTCATGACAATGACTTGATATAATTATAATTGTTTTGCACCCTTTGGCAAATAAAGAATGAGTGAAGTTCTTTTCTGGTTCAAATTTCAATATAGTATGATGGACTTCACTAATGAATGATAATTGATAGAATTCTACATCTGTAGGGAAACAAGCACAATGAAGATACAATTTAATTCATTAGTGTAAGCAGAAACTTCATGATGGTTTATTACTAATTATTGTTACTGAGTTTCTTCATAAAGTTATTTTCTATTGTTAGTAGCTCATTAAAATGAATTATTTCATTATTTATTTTAGTCTCTACTAGGAATAATAGTTTTAAATTTATCTTTTTATTTTATGTACTATGCCATTGAGAGAGAAACCTTTTATTCAGACTTCAGACCCAGTCAGATGCTTTTCAATGAATAGAAACCTTCTTCGTTGCTGACTTTAAATATTTGTTGATTTGGAAAAAATGTCAAGCATTCATGCAGAGAACCCCTAAATAATTAAGCCACTATCTGGCAGTTTAGTTCAAAAAATTGTTTAGCAGTCTTACAACAATGGAATTACAATTATGGAGGGGGAAATGGGAACATTACTCCTGGGATCAAGGATCACTGGTTTTTATTCTGAAAGAATTGTTTAAAACTCAATATTAAGATTAGTAATTATAGGAAATACCAAACAGGTGCTTAAGAATTTGAATGTCAGAATTTTACTTTTTATTTTTAAAAATATGTTTTATTAATTTTTGAGAGGGAGAGATAGAAACATCAATGTGAAAGAGAAACATTAATCGGCTGCCTCCTGCATGCTCCCTATTGGGGATCGAGCCCGCAACCTGGGAACGTGCCCTGACCAGGAATCCAATGGGGACCTCTCAGTCCATGGGACGATGCTCAATCCACTGAGCCACACCAGGTCGACCAGAGTGTTACTTTTTAAAAATGAGTTAGAGATATTTAACAGTGCCTTTTTCTTCCCTGAAATATGTTCTGCCTGGACAGGTGTAAGGAACAATTTAAGACCACCACATGCATGATTTTTCTAAGACTAGCCAACTACACCCAGCTGTAGAGCATCCTTGGAGCAAATGAAGCAGCTGTACAGCACAGTAGCAAAGTTTTGTATGTGTTGTTTAGCTGTTTATTTTCCCAAGGCCTATAGTTGCATCTCCTACATGTCTGAAAGACTTATTAAACTTTAGAAGACTCTTCAAACCTCTTAAACAATTCAGGTTTTTCTCTTGACATGATGATGGTAGAGGGAGTAGAGTGAATTACTTGAGCAGATTTCTCTTTGAATTGAATTCATATTTTGTTGCTCTTCTAGAATTGGTCATACTTTCCAATGTCAAATATATGGTCACAGATTGCCTCTGTGGCTTGACCTAAGTGTTCAAAATATCTTGTTACTTTCTTCATTAGATATCATTATTTTTAAATAATGTCTGAGATAATGTTACATGATTGATTATTTTAGTGGTCTACTTACTCTAGAGAGGTTTGAGTTGTACTACAAAAGCATTGTATACCTAATATCCACATGTAATTAATTTAAAAATGTTGTCATTGTTTCATTCAATAATTAGTGTATTGATAACTGGCTAAAAATGCAACAAAGGGTTCATAACATCTTTTTCTTGAATCTTGGGTATCAATTCCCATATTGTATGCTGGAAAATGTTGCTATAATCGGAGAAGACATGGTTAACTTAGGATTCAAGGTGGGCAAACAGGGCCATATAATATCATAGATTTGCCTTAATCACATACTACATTGATATTTATAGTACAAATAATCTTAGCTAGATCCTTAGGTAAAGAGTGGGCCAAAAAGAGGTGATAACTCTCTCTATATATTTGCTTCAATGTCACTCTATTAGCTGGGCATGTGTCATACTTCATGTAGATGATTGTTTATGAAAAGATTAAAACAGAGGAAGAAAAAATGGCGGCAGAGTGAATGAAGCTACACAGACCATCTCCCAGGACCAAACTGGATTCACAACGAAAATAAAGGCAAATCTTCAGGAAGGGGCAACCGAAACACACCTTGGAGGACCACATAACCAGGGACACCGACTCAATCCTGGTAGGCTTGCGAGGATGCGAGAGGGGGCCAGGAGCCCACGGTCCACAGCAGCCTGGGCAGGGACCAGGGGACTCAGCGGCAGGAAGTTGCTGCTAAGGCCTCTGCTGAGACCCCACCTGAGTCCTGCGAACTCTGCTGCCTGCTAAGCCCTTGGCTGGTGCCGCAAGGGCTGGGACGGACTGGTTCCGACCAGGGGACTTGGCGGGACGCTGCTACCCAGGCTGACTCCTGCGAACTCTGCGTGCTAAGCCCTCGGCTGGTGCCGCACAGACTCACGGGCACCAGGGGACTCTGCTGGAAGGTGCTGCCACCCCGGCAGTGTCGTGCTACTGCGGCTCAGTCCTGGGTCTTCGGCTGAGTGCAAAACCCTCTGCTGGTGCCACAGCGGTGGCCGCCCTTCCCTGGAAGCAGCGCTCTCGGGTTAAAAGTCCCAGACGGCGCCACGACGCAGAGTCTAGACAGAGGTTAAATAGGCAGCAGTCACTCACCTTGGGCTTCAGCAGAGGGAAAGAAGACTGGACTGTAACTGTGTGGGGACACTCGGGTTTTGGAGGGTGCTAAGAGCTTTTGCTGAGTGCAGCCACGCAGGACTGTGGTCATTTTACTCCTTCCCAGGGCCCTGGGGAGAGGTGAGGTGGAGGCCCCTCCCTCAGAGATTCAATCCCACCTGGTGGCCATTGAAATGCTAATTGAGGCCCATTAACAACCAGCAGCTGCCCCAACCTCTTACACTGAGCACCTGAGGGAGTTTTTCAGGCAACTCAGAAACCAAGGGTCTTTAGGTGACCTCTACTAATAGCCTCCAGGCAAAAAAAAAACAAACAAAAAAAAACTAGAGGATAACTACCATTCCCTGGGCATGCAACACTAACCAGAAAAGCTAAGACTTGAAGGTGGTGTTTAAAGTGGGTCCTCCCTAGCTCATCCAAACCCAGGAGAGGGAACCACAAACAGCAGAACACCAACACCCACAGGAAAAATTTGGCAGACTCCAAAGCCCACTGTGATA